AAAACCTTTATCAAATGAACTGAAGGATGTCACATAAGAGAGAACTTGCTATTATGGACATACTAACAGACATTTCACATCAGAGTGAGAAAAATACCAGTGACGTGTAGACTTTGAATCAATACAGTAACAGAAGAAATACACAATAAAATTCGGTCTGTTAATCACTGAAACCCTTAAGAGATTTTTCTACTTATTTTTTGAGTCATGACTTTTAAAAAAAGGTACACTGGAATCAATAATATCAGTGCATCATGAATAAAACAGATTATACCTAAAAAAATCTACAGAGATTTATTCATAGACAACAGCTGTTGGTGAACAGTATGTTTCTTGATCTTGATTTAATCATTTTAAAAAACAGTGGCTGCGCATGGTGGCTCACGCCTGTAATCCCAGCACTTTGGGAGGCTGAGGCCGGGGGATCACCTGAGGTCAGGAGTTCAAGACCAGCCTGGCCAAGATAGTAAAATCCTGCCTCTACCAAAAAAAAATACAAAAAATTAGCCAGGCATGGTGGCACATGCCTGTAATCCCAGCTACTTGGGAGGCTGAGGCAGGAGAATCGCTTGAACCCAGGAGGTGGAGGTTGTAGTAAGCCAAGATCGTGCCACTGCACTCCAGCCTGGGCGACAAGAGCGAAACTCTGTCTCAAAAAAAAAAATTTTTTTTAAGTGAAAATTATGCATACAACCAAGTCAAAACCATGACTTACATGTTTTTTTGAAAAACAGCTGGCCGGGCACGGTGGCTCAAGCCTGTAATCCCAGCACTTTGGGAGGCTGAGGCGGGCGGATCACGAGGTCAGGAGATCGAGACCATCCTGGCTAACACAGTGAAACCCTGTCTCTACTAAAAAATACAAAAAACTAGCCGGGCGAGGTGGCAGGCGCCTGTAGTCCCAGCTACTCGGGAGGCTGAGGCAGGAGAATGGCGCAAACCTGGGAGGCGGAGCTTGCAGTGAGCTGAGATCCGGCCACTGCACTCCAGCCTGGGCGACAGCGCGAGACTCCCTCTCAAAAAAAAAAAGAAAAACAGCTTTACTGGGATATAATTTACATATCATTTTATACATCATATATCATATGACACCCATTTCAATTAAGAAACATAAACACCTTTTGATATATACATCTAAGCAAATAAATGGGTAGCGAATATAAGACCACTTTTCCACAATGAAGTGTGCTGGGATAGATACAAGTTAGCTACTACTTAGAGTTAATTATTTATTGAACCAGCTTACTCACCATTAGTGTGTTTTTTAATTGTACTCTTCATTTAGATTTCCTTTTTAATTGGCAAGAGCACATCTCAGAAAAATTTGCAGAAAGGATAATGGTGGTATACTCTCTCAGTTATTGTTATGTCTGAGAGTGTCTTTTTTCTTTTTTTTTTGAGATAGGGTCTCGCTCTGTCATCCAGGCTGAAGTGCACTGGCATGATCACGGCTCACTGTAGCCTGAGTAGCTGGGACTACAGGCATGCGCTACCACATCCAGTGAATTTTTGCATTTTTTTGTAGAGATGGGGATTTGCCATATTGCCTAGACTGGTCTCGAGCTCCTGGGCTCAAGTGATCTGCCTACCTTGGTCTCTTAAAGTGCTGGGATTACAGGCATGACCTGCTGCACTGGGCCTGAGTGTGTTTCTTTCACATTCACACAAATGACTTCTAAGCTAGATGTGGAATTCTTGGTCCTAACATTTTGGTTCTAGTATTTAAAGTAGCCAGCCTGATTCTTCATCCTCTGTAGGCAACAAGTTTTCTCCTGTGCATATATTTATACTACTATTTCCTTATTCCTCATTCTTAAAATTAGAATCTAATTCTTAAAAGACTTAAATTTGGTGTTCTTTTCAAGCTTAGATTCAAGGCTTAAGCTTAGGGAAATTTTTATCAAAATAATCTTTTTTCTTTTTTGTAGAGCTGGGGTCTCACTATGTTGCCCAGGCCAGTCTTAAACTCCTGGCCTCAAGCAATATTCCTGCCTCAACCTCCCAAAGTGCTGGGATTATAGGAATGAGCCACTGCACTCGGCCTATCAACATAATCTTTAATACTTGCCTCTGTTCTATTTGTTTCAGGGACATTAATTATGCCTCTGTTGGATTTAAATTCAGTGTTCCAATCTATCACGTCAATTTTATCAGAAAAACTTATCTCCAATTTTCCTTCACACAATTGGCTCAGCTTTGTAGATACTCTGGTCCTTCTAATTAAGTTTTTAATCTGCTATGAGTTTATTTTGCTAAATTTTAAAATTCACCCATATCACTTTTGTTTTGTTTTGTTTGAGACGGAGTTTCACTCTTGTTGCCCAGGCTGGAGTGCAATGGCATGATCTTGGCTCACCACAACCTCTGCCTCCCAGGTTCAAGATATTCTCCTGCCTCAGTCTCCCCCAAGTAGCTGGGATTACAGGCATGCAGCACCACGCCTGGTTAATTTTGTATTTTTAGTACAGACAGCGCTTCTCCATGTTGGTCAGGCTGGTCTCGAACTCCTGACCTCAGGTGATCCACCCACCTAGGCCTCCCTCCCAAAGTGCTGGGATTACAGGTGTGAGCCACTGCGCCCAGTCCTGTCTCAGTTTTAATTCACCCATTTCCCTTTTAATTTCTCTCAGTCACTTTTTCATTTTAGTCCATTATTTTATCTTACCTTGTTATATAACATTACTATCCCCTTGACTTTTATAAAATGTTCTAGCCTCTTGATTTTTATTAAAGCAAAACACAGGTGCTATCTAAAATTGACTTCCGTTTCCTGCAGCAAATCTTTTTCAAGGTGTGCTTTCATTCCAGACACTAAGTACAATGTTCTTTTCCTTCATGTGGCAGAAACTTTTCTTCCATTGACATGAGATCAACTGAGATCTAGTGTTTGCTCATAAATAGGCGAACTGGGTGCTTTCCTACTGTCCATCTGGTTGGGTGTTTAATTCTAGCTCTCAGATTGTATGCTGAGACTTAGTTGATGTAAATTTGCATTATCAATATGGTGATTTAGGATTAGGAAACTTTGTTCCTAGCATAATTTCTCTTTTGTGTTTGACATAAGCAGCCAAATAACAGCTAAGTTTTCCATGTCCAGCTTTCTGTCTGGCTCAGCCCTCCATCCCGGAAATTTCTCATACTGTGTCAGGAAGAACACCCACTATACTGTATGCTTTCTGCCTAGTATATAGTCATTGCCTGATCCCTCTAAATGTAGCTACTTTTGAAATCTATTATTAATTTATTAGTAATAATAAAATAGATTCCAAACAGTATATTGTCCATCAGTTGCAAGGCTTGCCCTTATCTCTTCCTCACCTCTCAGCGTAATTATCCCAAGATCTACTCTACTTCCACACATTATTTTCTTCCAAGTGAGGCTCCCACATAAGGTTCTAAGTCTTCCTAAGTGATCCATCAGTAGTATACTCAGCAGAAATTCATCAAAGTTCCTGGGCCTTCAATGGCATCCTTATATAGGATCAGGGCCAAGTTAGACTATTTCCTTTTCATCATTACCTGCTCATTTCAGCAGCAATCAGTGGGAGCAGAAGAAAAGGCAATCAGATATCTGTGATCAAGTTCCCATGTTGCATGGAATTTATTTTGGTGCAAATTTGAGTAGTTTTCCTCCATTAGTTCTCCAGTGCACTTTAGGCCACTGGGAGAAATTCTCTCCAATGAAGACACTGGCAAATTCTATTACTGGCTAAACAAGTAGATCATTAAAACATTTATATTTGTAAACAAGAATCGGTTATACTGAATATTTTATAAGGAAAAAAAGAATCAACCCCTAGAAACAGTACAAGATGATTTATCCAGTATACCAGTGCCTGGAACTGCCATTTGAACAGCACTACTGCATGGCTCTACAGTAATAACTGATGCTCATAATGATGAGCCTCAGGCACTGCAAAATCCTAAAGAAAATGTTATAATTAGCATAGTTTGTGTTAAGAGAATAACTTAGTATAGTCTATTTATTTTAAAACTGATAACCCAAGAATGACAGAAATAGCCACTCTACTAGACCTAATATCTGCTAGAACGATACTCATTCTGAATGTATCAAATGATAGTCTGACAGGCAAATAAATAACTCATCACTTACTATATACATACAGCATCTCCTAGAGTACATTCCACGCTTAGTATGCTATTTTCCTAGACTCCACATACAAAAAAAGATATGTATTGGTCTTAATGAGTTATCTATTTTATTTGGTTTTTAATGACATTTAATAGAGACATAGAAGAACAAAATATCATGTAAACAGGTTAAAGAAACAACGGTAAAGTTTCCCAAAAGCTTTCTTTTTTAAGCAAAACTGTCACTGGGTATTATTTGTTTTGTTTTTTGTTTTGAGACAGGGTCTCATTCTGCTGCCTAGGCTGGAGTGCACTAACAAAATCACGGCTCACTGCAGCCTCCACCTCCTGAGCTCTGGTGATCTTCCCACCTCAGACACCTGAGTAGCTGGGACCACAAGTGTGCGCCTCCCTGCCCAGCTAATTTTTCTATTTTTTGCAGACAAAGCGTTTTGCTATGTTGCCCAGGGTGGTCTCAAACTCCTAGGCTCAAGTGATCCACCCGCCTCAGCCTCCCAAATTGCTGGGATTACAGGTGCGAGCCACCACTCCCAGCCTAGGGTATTTTTAACAAGAGACCTCTGCCCTACAAATGTGATTTTCTTACTTGTAATAATTTAATACTGTTCCCCTACCTTCCCTGTCTCTCCCTGATTTGTAAAAGGCAGATGATTTTTAAAACCACAAAATAACTGCTTCGTATTGCCAAAACTAACATAAACAACAAATGTATCAATTTTGTTTTTGAGTAGATCAAAAACAGAACCCCTTATTAAAAGCAGCAAATGTGAATTAATCCAATACAAACTGCTTCTCAGAACAGTGGTGACATGAATTCAGAGGCACTGCCATCTGAAAAATCCATAAATTCAATGAATAACAAAGCAATTTTATTTACTTAGTTGTACCTGCTCATCTCTTTGTCTCCACTCTTGCCAATTTTCTTCTCGTGAATCCTTCTGTACTGGGTTTGACAATGGAAGATCATGTTGAGCATTACAAACAGCATGGGAGGATTTCTGGGGAATTTTCTTAAAAGCAAGATTCCTGAGCTATAATAAAACAAAGAAAAAATATATTAAATTCAGTTTACCAATCCTGGGATACTAATGATTTTTTTAATTTAAAAAAATGGTATTTTTATACTTCTACTCCACTCGTTTTGCTAACTCACACAACTAAAGTTATTATTTGTGTTTTGTATAATCTTTGTAGAATGTTAATTTTGCCAGCATTTGAGATAATATTGGCAGAGAAATGAAATGATTAAGTGAAAAATGTATTATACTCTATTATACCTCCATTTTAATCATTCTTCTTTACTAAAGAGAAGTTTAGGCTGGGCGCGGTGGCTCAAGCCTGTAATCCCAGCACTTTGGGAGGCCGAGACGGGCGGATCACGAGGTCAGGAGATCGAGACCATCCTGGCGAACACGGTGAAACCCCGTCTCTACTAAAAAATACAAAAAACTAGCCGGGCGAGGCGGCGGGCGCTGTAGTCCCAGCTACTCGGGAGGCTGAGGCAGGAGAATGGAGTAAACCCGGGGGGCGGAGCTTGCAGTGAGCTGAGATCCGGCCACTGCACTCCAGCCCGGGCGACAGAGCCAGACTCTGTCTCAAAAAAAAAAAAAAAAAAAAAAAGAGAAGTTTATAGGAGTAGAAAACAGTAAAACAAGTGTGCTCTTAAAATGCAAAACACAGCCGGGCTCAGCAGCTCACCCCTGTAATCTCAGCCCATTGGAAGGCTGAGGCAGGTGGACTGCTTGAGCCCAGGAGATTGAGATCAGCCTTAGAAATGTGGCAAAACCCAGTCTTTACAAAAAATACAACAACAAAAAAAAACTAGTTGGGTGTGGTGACACGCACCTGTGGTCCCAGCTACCCAGGAGGCTGAGGTGAGAGGATCACCTGAGCCTGGGTAGTTGAAGCTGCAGTGAGCAGTGATCATGCCACTACACTCCAGCCTGGGTGACGGAGTGAGACCCTGTCTCAAAAATAAAAATAAAATAAAATGCAAAACAATATAGCTCAGAAGCATACACATTTAAAAGTTTAAATAGTGAGAGATCGCCTAAACAACTCTGACAACTACTTTGCTAGTGCTAAAAAATACAGGGCCTAGTCCACAAAGTAACATAATCAACTAAAACAGTACAGTATGGGCCAAGCCACTCCCAACAATAAAAATAATCTGAGACAAAGTAGTTGAAACAAGAGAGAAAAATACTGAGAGGCTGTTATGAACCGAATTTGTTAAATTAAGTTTAGCCAGCAGACTGGGCATACTGCCTATGAGCTAGCCCTGCTCTGCAAGGAGCAGTTAAAAAAAAAAAAAAAAAAAAAGTTTAGTCTAAAGTTGCCTCCTTACTTTTTTTTTTTTTTTTTTTGGCAGAGTCTCGCTCTGTCGCTAGGTTGGAGAGCAGTGGTGCGATCTCGCTCACTGTAACCTCCACCTCCCAGGTTCAAGCAATTCAGCTGCCTCAGCCTCCCAAACAGGTGGGATTACAGTTGGATGCCACCACGCCCAGCTACTTTTTGAACTCCTGACTTCAGGTAATCTTCCCACCTCAGCCTCCTAAAGTGTTGGGATTACAGGTATGAGCCACCGCGCCTGGTCCCCACTGCCTCTTTACATATTTTAAGTTCAACTTGAAAGTTTCTCCATACATAGTAAACTATAACCTAACAATATATAAACAAACTGTAACCTACTTTTGTACCAATCACCCAGTTTTAGCCAATCACAGGTGGCCAACTGTCAAACTATGTTCAAATGAGGCAAAGGTGGAGCTGTAACCAGTCCAGCTGTTTCTGTACCTCACTTCTGTTTTCTGTCCATAAATACGACCTGACCATCTGACAGCCCAGGAGTAGCTCTGAACCTATTCTGGTTCTGGGGGCTGCTGAATTGTGAATTGGTCTTTGTGCATTTGAACTGTTCAATTTAATTTATCTGAAGTTTTTAACAAATTGTATCCCCCCTAAAGATACCTTGAAGCCCTAACCCCCAGTGTCCATGAATGTGACCTTATTTGGAATTTGGGTCTTTACAAATGTAATCAACTTAAGATGAAGTCATGCTGAATTAGGTTGGGCCCTAATCCAATATGACTGGTGTCCTTATACAAAGAGGTGAAGACACAGATACATAGAGAATGCCACATAACAACACAGGTGGAGATTGGGGTGATGACACAGCAAGCCAAAGGAATGCCATGGATTGACAGCTGCCACCCAGAAGCTAGAAGAGGCACAGAAATATTCTACTCAGAGTCTCAGAGAGAGAATGGCCCTGTTGACGTGTGGATTTGAAACTCTACTAGACTCTAGAACTGTGAAAAATAAATTTCTGTTGTTTTAAGCCACCAAGTTTGCGGTATTTTTTTATGGCAGCCCTGAGAAACTAATAAAGAGGCTTTCAATTGTGGATTAACAATTTTAACCAGTAATACCAGGTTGGTGCAAAAGTAATTGCGGTTTTTACCAAGTACATTGTTCTATAAAAGGAAATAAGATAGAAACACCACCAGTAGCTGGTTTCTGACTTGGAAAGGACATTCAGGAGGAGATGCTGCTGGAAATGAAGCACTGGTAGGTTGGCTGCTGTTTGCTTTACAGAAAGTAAAGGCTGATAGAACTGCAAATGGCTGAAGTGCAAAGGGCGGATCCTTCACACTCATTGTTTTACATTTTCTCATTCTCTAATATAAACTCCATTATTGCCTTATTTTCTGTTTCCCCCAAATCATCTTAATTCCTAAAAGAAAATAGTGGGCAATCAAAAGTTCTGAAAGATCTCACTTCTGAAAGGTTATCATCTAGTGAGGAAAATGTCTTTCCTTTAAAGTAACTGTGTGGATAGCATTGTAAAGAATATTTAGAAAGCAATGGAGATGGAAATTTAATAGAAAAATATAAAGTGAAAATGCTTTTTTCTAAGTCTTGGGACATTACTATGAGAATAAAACACTTTTACTACTTCTTTCATTAAACAATAATAAGGAAGGTCCTTATATACCCAACTGCTCCTTCTATTAAAACAAAACACATACTAGAGTTGTATTTCAGCATTTCTTTTAAAAACAATGGGCACATTAAATGTTGGTCATATAACTAATGCTAAGGATGTCTAGGAAAAAAGGGCCTTCTATACAGTTTTTACTCTGAAGAAAAGAAATGGGCCGGGTGCAGTGGCTCACACCTGTAATCCCAGCACTTTGGGAGGCCAAGGCGGGTGGATCACGAGGTCAGGAGTTCTAGACCAGCCTGGCCAATACTGTGAAACCCCGTCTCTACTAAAAATATAAAAATTAGCCAGGTGTGGTGGCGTGCACCTGTAGTTCCAGCTACTTGGGAGGCGGAGGCAGAAGAATCACTTGAACCCGGGAGGTGGAGGTTGCAGTGAGCTGAGATCATGGCACTGCACTCTAGCTTGGGTGACAATGCAAGACTCCATCTCAGAAAAAAAAAATGACCATCGAATGCATAAAAATGTACATTCAAGGCGAGTCACAGAGGGTCAGAAAGAGAGTTGCACACCTGTAATCTCAGCACTTTGGGAAGCTGAGGCAGATGGATTGCTTGAGGCCGGGAATTTGAGAACAGCCTGGGCAATGTACTGTGACCCTGTCTCTACAAAAAAAAAAAATTAGCCTAACTACTTGGGAGGACTGCTTGAACCCAGGAGTTGGAGGTTACAGTGAGCTATATGCCACTGAACTCCAGTCTGGGCAACAGAGAGAGGCCGGCGCGGTGGCTCACACCTATAATCCCAGCACTTTGGGAGGCCAAGGTGGGTGGATCACCTGAGCAACATGATGAACCCTGTCTCTACCAAAAATACAAAAAATCAGCCTGGTGTAGTGGCGTGTGCCTGTGGTCCCAGTTGCTTGGGAGGCTGAGGTGGGAGGATCACTTGAGCCTGGGAGGCAGAGGTTGTAGTGAGCCGAGATCGCACCACTGCATTCCAATCTGGGTAACAACGAGACCCCGTCTCAAAAAAACAAAAACAACTAGTCATATGATTTTTGCCTATAACAGTAGAAAACAGGAAACAACCCAAATGCTTATCATGAGTTCAATTAAATAAAGTATGAAATAACCACATAATTAAATATTGTAAACTGTGGATTCATTTAAAATAACAGATCTGTATTTACTAATACGGAAAACCGCTCGTGGCTAATATTTTTTTAAAGCCAGTTATGAAAGTCTATTAAATAATCCCATCTTCATTTAAGTATAACACGGATATATATATACACATGTATATATTCATATAAATTTATATATGTGTACAGAAAACACATACCAAAATATTAATTGGTTATATTTCTGGTTATATCTGTAAGTGACCTTTGCTTCCTTTTAAGACTTTCCTAAACTTTATGCAATGAACACACAAACTTCCACAGTCAGAAAAAAATGTATTTTAAAAATGTTCAGGCAGGGTGTGGTGGCTCACGCCTGTAATCCCAGCTCTTTGGGAGGCTGAGGCAAGCAGACTGCTTGAGCCCAGGAGTTCAAGACCAGCCTATGCAACATGGCAAAACTCCATCTCTACAAAAACTGCAAAAATTAGCCAGGCATGGCAGTGTGTGCCTGTGGTCCCAGCTACTCAGGAGGCTAAGGTGTGAGGACACCTTGAGCCTAGGAGGTTGAGGCTACAGTGAAGTGTGATCATCCCACTGCACTCCAGCCTAGGTGACAGAGTGAGAGCTTGTCTCAAAAAAAAAAAAAAAAAAGATCATTACATTTTATTTTAAATATACACAAATTCACATCCATTCATTGAAGTAATATTTACAGAATACCTGTGTAACAGGTACTATGAATACATAGGTGAACAAGATAGTATCTGTTCTCAGGATGATTATCGTCTATTGGGAAAGCAGACAACACAAATAATTTTAAGTGTTACCTCATTTGCTTCACTCTGTTGCTGTTCCTTCTTTTTTCTTCTTTTCTCTCTTTTTTTCTCATTTGTAGTTGACTTGCTTCCTAAAGTTTGAGACTTTCCAGTATTTCGACCTTTACCTTTTCCAGGTTCTGAATCAGAACCACTGCCACTATCCACTTGTAACAGGGCAAAACGAGAAGCGGTAGTGGGAACAGAACTAAGTACTGCTGAGGCCATCGTAAAGATTTTTCTTTTAAAATACTTCTGTCAAGAACAATTTCTGTGGGGAGGGAGAAGAATAGGCAGATGGGTAAACTAACACTCAGTAAAATCTGTTGTAGATGCTAAAACAACCATATGTATATAAAGTAAATTTCTTCTGACACTGGCTTTAGTAAATTTGGATTAATACCCACAGCACTATTAGCAGTAACATACTTTTATATTTAAGCAAACAATGTAACATTTTACAATAGAAAAATGACATAAGATTTCACAGATATAATGTGCTCATTTTTCCATGTATACTTTAAAAATGCATGGTTTTCCTCTCTCAATAATTCTGTAATATATACATATTTATAAAGAACATTCTAAATCAATATGGTTTACAGTGGAAAAGAGTATCATTTTTTCATTATACACAAAAAAAGATCTTTAGTCCAACTACATGTTAACTCCCAACTTCCAATAAAAGAAAAAAAGGAGTAAAGACAGAATATCATTTTTATCATACATAAAATACTACCATAAGTTTGATTCTGGAGACTGTGACTTAGAACTGACAGCAAAGGCCGGGCGCGGTGGCTCAAGCCTGTAATCCCAGCACTTTGGGAGGCCGAGACGGGCGGATCACGAGGTCAGGAGATCGAGACCATCCTGGCTAAAAAAAATACAAAAACTTAGCCGGGCAAGGTGGCGGGCGCCTGTAGTCCCAGCTACTCGGGAGGCTGAGGCAGGAGAATGGCGTAAGCCCGGGAGGCGGAGCTTGCAGTGAGCTGAGATCCGGCCACTGCACTCCAGCCTGGGTGACAGAGCAAGACTCCGTCTCAAAAAAAAAAAAAAAAAAAAAGAACTGACAGCAAAAATAAAGAGCTTAAATTCTCTCAACCAAAGGAAACTTTTCAAAATGCCTTCTGCATTATGTTTTAGTTCACTAGCTTCCATGCAAGCACAGGTGAGTGTAGCTTCATGTCATGTGCTGTCAGCTTTTCCACAACCGTTTAGACCTAGAAGGGATCTTAAAAGTCCCCCAGTAGCTCCTAATCCAAATCCTTTAGTTATACAGCTAAGGTAAGTGGAGTTTAAGTTGGTTATGTGACTTCCCTTAGTTCTTTCTGGAAGTTAGTGGCTGAGTCTCCACTTGGACCTAGATTTGCTGAACCTTAATCTGAAAGTCCAAATTAAGAAGCCCTGTAACAACCAGAAGACTAAGTACTCTTCCAATTAAAAAAGACACAGATTGTCTTAACAGAACGGCAACTCAGAAATTTGTATTTTGAAATGTTTCAGGTACACAGAAACTGAACAAAGTATTCGGTTTGAAAAAATTAAGATGAACACTCCAAGTAGCCAGCACAAAGGTTAACAAAACGTTAACTGACTCCTATGCTTCTCTCCAATTGCATTCCCCCACTGCACCAGCCAGAGGTAACAAGTATCCCGATTTCCGTATAACTTACTCCTTTGCTTTTCTTTATAGTTTTATCCTATGTCTTGATTCACAGTGCTCATATCTGAATGAACTGCTGTCATTTCCACAATATCCCACTGGTTACATATATATTTCTTACTACATCACATTATCACACAGGTCCACCCTATTCATTGTGGGAAAGGGCTATGTAAAGGTGAATACTAAGAAGTAAGGATCATTAAGATCCATTCTGAAAGCCAACCACACACTATCGTTTGTATGTTTTCAGGAGGGAAGAAAAATGAGAAGTACATATTCAATCTTCCACCTTAAGTGACGAGAAAAACATCTGGAAATCTTTCAAGTTTTTGGTACACAACGAAGAAAAATCACAGTAAGAACTGAGGTCTGAAGATGCTGTCTAGCCGTCATTAAATTATAGCATTTTTATTACAATATCATGTTAAGACAAATTGCTTGTGTCTAGAAATATGCAAATCAAGACAAAATATGACAATGTACAGAGATGATACCACATGATAAATTGTGACAGATTTTTGCTTCCAATCTTTCCTGCAAGCATGGGAATGAAAGTTTCATAAGTTATGACAAAGGAGAAAATGTTTCAAAATGGAAAAGAAATTCCAGAAATATTACGGAAAAGATGAATTCTGCTTCAACCTCAACATATTTTATTAAAATAATCCTATAGGCCGGGTGCAGTGGCTCACACCTGTAATCCCAGCACTCTGGGAGGCTGAGGTGGGTAGGTCACTGGAGGCCAGGAGTTTGAGACCAGCCTGGGCAACATAGTGAGACCCTGTCTCTACTAAAAATACAAAAAATTAGCTAGGCATGGTGATGCGCACCTGTAATCCCAGCTATTCCAGAGGCTGAGGCATGAGAATCTCTTGAACCCAGGATGTGGAGGTTGCAGTGAACTGAGATTGCACCACTGACTACAGCCTGAGCAACGGAGTCAGACTCTCTCTCAAAAAAATAGTAACAATCCTATATAAAATGTTACTTTCTTGAGCACTCAAGGTACAATAATCCTATATAATTGTTCAACTATCATTATATTCAATTTTAAATGTTGGGGCTATTAATTGGAAGTGGCAGCTGTATTACTGTTCACAAATATTCACTGTCCCTCCCTGAAGGGGAATTACACTATACATCACTTCTCTGTTGAAGGCAGGCATAACTAGGTAACTTACTTTGGCCAGTGAAATATAAACTTTAAAAAGCTTTACAAGTCAGTGTGTGGTTCAACGTGTCCTCTTTTCCTTGCTTCTGTGATTGCAGAAGCGTATACTGAGATGGAATCTCTATCAGCCAGATCTAATAAAGTCTGCAACCACAGTGAACAAAGCCCCCTTACTAACCTGTGATGGACATACAGCTTGAGCAAGAAAGCAACTTTGCTGCTTTCAGCTGCTGAGATTTTCAGATTGCTTATTGAAGCCTTATCATGACTTATAACTTACACAAAGAAATTTCTTTCCATTCTAGGACTGATATGAAAACTGTGAATTTCATATATGGATTATTTGCATGCTCATAATTTCTATTCTGAAACATCTCTCCAAGGCTCATAGAAATTTTATTTCTGTAGCATAAGACAGAGCTATCTTACCAGGGTATCCTTAGACAGTTTCCCTTAGGCCTTGGGGCAGCCGGAAACCCCTGAAAAAGTAAGAGCCTCTGTTCCAGTCACTTCCAGATACAAGCAACCTCATCCGGTGCTCCTCAGTGGGTAGCTCCTGCACATGCCACTCTGGAGTTATGTCAACTATGAAAAGGGAAGTGCTCCAAGTCCTAGTAATCTACCTCATCAGACAACTGCAGAGTGCACTGTTACCCATTATTATAGACAGGCTTGTAAAACTGTTGGAAGATTGTGTTCAAGGTGCCTCAACAGCAAGGCACACGGTAGAATAAGCAGGAAGTCAAGAACGGGGGAGCCCAAAATCTAGGGAGCAAGGTTTCCTTAAAGCAACAGCCTTAAATCTCTGTATTGATTATATTTTTCCCCATTTGCCAGTGACATCCATTTTCAGTAACATCAAATCTAGCTGCAAGGTGACTGCTCAAACAATGCATATGCTTTCTGTCACCTAGAACTTTGTCATTACTTTTAAACACTTGAAATTAGAAAGTCCAATTGAATCTGAAATCCTGTCATTCACTGATTTATTCATTTGTTTATTTTTGAGACAGGGTCTCGCTCTGTCACCCAGGCTGGAGTGCAGTAGCCTGATTATGGCTCACTGCAGCCTTGACTTCCTGGGCTGAAATTATTCTCCCACATCAGCCTCCTGAGTAGCTAGGACTACAGGTGTGTGCCACCATGCCTGGCTAATTTTTTCTACTTTTTATAGTGATGGGGATCTTCCTATGTTGCCTAAGCTGGTCTCAAACTCCTGGGCTCAAGTGATCCTACTGCCTTGGCCTCACAAAGTGCTGGGACATGAGACATGAGCCACCGCAACTGCCCCAAATCCTTTCATCTTTATCACAAGAAATTTTCTATTACATTTTTGATGAAAAGAGCTGTTAGATTATTTAAAAATAATTCCAACTGTTGCAAATTACTGAATGCTTAGATAAAAATTGCTTGTTTTTATTACCTCCTCATACAAATGAAGTTTTAATGGACACTCAATCCTAAGAAATCATTATTTAAAAGTCTAGATCAGGAACTGAATATTTTCATTGGTGGATAAACTGATTTTAAAAATGAAAAGTTAATGTTCACAGAAGCAAGTACAATTATCTCATTAGAAACCCTGAAAAGAGTCTGAAGTTTTATAGAAATTCAACATTTAGTATCTTTCCTATTAATTTATATTGTTTTACTTATCCTAATCATATACTATAACAAAAACGTTTTTCACATTTTTTTCCATCTAGTTCAATACAGACACCTTTAAATCTCTTTCCAGTTTTGGGAGAATGAGATGCCTCTGGTTCTTTGTGTCAGTAATGCAAAAAGCAAATGGCAGGGAGCACCAGCACAAGACCACTGACCTGGAGCCAGAATGCCCATCACACCCAACCTGCTACTTACTGTAAGTCCTTGAGCAACCTATTTGATCTCTCTGAGTTGTTGTAAAGACTGAAGAAGTTAATATATGTAAAGTACTTAGAACAGTAGCCAGAAGCACTCAATATAGTCATGCATCACTTAATGATGGGGATACGTTGTGAGAAATGCATCATTAGGTGATTTCATCACCGTGTGAGTATCACACAGTGTACTCACACAAACCTAACTGGTACAGCCTACTATCCACCTAGGCTACATGGTATGGCCTATTGCTCCTAAGCTACAAATCTGTATAGCATGTGACTGTATCAGAGGCAACTGTAACACAATGGTAAGTATTTGTGTATCTAAAGAAAAAGTACAATAAAAATACTGCTTTATATGTCCATTATTGACCAAAACAAAACATAGTTACTGTAGCACATGACTATATACGCATTTATGGGTGTTACTATTATTATTAGACTGAAATGTGCCATGAGACACTATGAGACATAGGAGAATTGGTACAAACTATTTAAAAATTTGACTAAGCATGCCTGACTCCACTGCAAAGTGTTTTGAAACTTAAACAACATGTGGCCCCTATACA